GGCGCTGTCTGTGGTTCTCCACATTAGCCATGGTGTTCATTTAGACTCCAGTTTGACCCAGTTACCTTTTTATCTCCAGGCAACGTCATGCTTGAGCTGCAGCTGCTCCATGCTCTGACCCAAGCCGCTTGTCACCCGTACCTGGGCCCGCTCCCGATGCGCCGAGCCACCACGCATTTCGCTGACAGTGCGCATAACTGGGTCAACCGTGCTCAGCAATGCCTCAAACAAAACCTGAGATCTTTGCTTGTTATGGTGTTTAGAGCCTTATTGCAACATTCTTTTACATACAACCAATTGTTTCATGCCAAATCATACTGGAAACCAAGTTTAATTAAAGTGCTCTTTTATTAATTTTCTCAGTTAGTCATACATCTATGGAAGTAAACAATACATCTATGGCAATATATTAAAAAAACAAACAAACAACCAAACAAACAAAAAAACCCCCACAGGATCAGCAATGGAAAGTACAGTTATCTTAACCTAAATGTTAGTATTCACCTACTGATTTTGGTTAAAGTGAAACAAAATCAGTAATAGGCCACCTTTATATTACCAGCATTTATCCTGCAGGGCGTTTAGCTTCATCTCAGTCTTCTCAGGTCTGTAAAGGACAGAGAGGTAGCCACCATTCAGTAGATTAAGTCTGGCCGGCATCAAGGATTAAGTATTTTGCCTGTGAGCACAGACTGCATTTGTACCGATTTGACTGTGTAAAGATAAAGAGACCACAGGGATGACAATGAGGTAGAAGTAGCGAATAGATGGGTAAGTTTATTGGGGAGGGGGCTGTGAGCTGATACTGAGGATGAATTTATTCCACTTGACACTGAAGCCTTGCGTCAGGTGTAGTGTGGAGGCTCTCAAGAGGGACTTTCCCAGCTACAGTGAGAGAACAGGAAAAAAGGATCCCTTAGTCTACCGTACTAAACAGAATAGCAAACTCAACCACAGTAAAGACATTTTATAATCAGTATATTTAAAGATAGCAAGGTAAAATAAATAATAATTCTCAAGACACACATAAAAAACCTTTATCGTTACTGGAGTATCACAAATAAACTTACAGAGTATGTCACCAGTTCTGCTGACAGCTGCTTTGTTCACTTTGTATTCCTTCTGCTGGGACCTGAGATGAGAGGAGTGCATCTGTAACTTTGGCATCAGCATTATGGACAGCTCCTCAACCAGCAAAGAAAATGAGCTTAAACCAAACAGGGATGTAGGTTTAATCTCATTACTCACACCCTCAACTTCGTCACCGCCTCCAGTCTCCGCAGTGCAGAAAGAACATTTTTCTGTGTGTCAGAAGACAGGACTTCAAAGGTGTGAAGGTCACCTGCAAAACAAACAAACAAACAAACACCCCACAAACTGTAAGTTTGTAAGTTACCAGTAGGGATGGGAATTTATAAGAATTTTGCGATTCCATTATCGATTCTCACTGGCTCCACTTTGAGGGTCGTGACCATCTCTAAGCAGCATATCAATGACATTACATTCATGCAAAGTAATTACAAATTTCCCATCTTAGTTGTGATCAGTGTTGGGATCATTGCTCAAAAAAATTAAAGTAAAAAAGTACATTATTTAATTACACCCAGGAGAAAGACTTTTGTTATTCTACTTGTTGCAAAAGTGATCTTTCTCTAAGTATTTAGCTATGAACACAAAGCTGACAACACAAATCAAAGATAAAAAACCAGCACAAAGAGATTTTAAAGTGATTGTCACAGTGACTCTACTCTAGAAACATGAACAGGTAGAAACGGAGGTAGCAGCCTGACTGCTCATCAGTTTGTTACCTGTTGAAGTTAAGCAGCGGCTTCACCGCAAATGAAGGCTTACTTTATCATGGTGCTGGGCTGGGGTCAGCATTTACTCAGCTTTAACGAAACTCTTGGTTCTTGGCTAGCTTAGCATTAGCATGCTGTCTGTGCAGGTGCTTGCAAAGAGCCTAAGTTGTGTTAACAGTATAATGCAGATGTTTCTGTTCTGGATCAGTCTCCACTTTACCATCAAGTTCTCATTCTTTTTTGCAATAAAAATAAAAGTAATGTCCATATCCACGCTGGAGACTGTGCCACTATTTTTCCAATTTGACACACAAATTAAAATCAGCTGATTGTAGCGAGAGTGCAAGAATCGAAAAAAGGGACTGATAAGCAGGCTGAATAACGATTCCCAGGATTTGGGCTAATGGGAACCAGTTCTCTAC